GTTCTTAGTACAACGCACGCGCGCGCGGTCTTTACAACTCCTTTCGTACTAATCCCAAGTGCCGCTTTTAAAACCCGCTTTCAAACTCCCAATCAGCTTCGTTCAAATGCGGCGGTTTGGGCCAATCAGAGGCGCCGCTTTTAAAAAATTTATCCCTACCCATGGTCCCTGTTCCGGACGCGGCTCAGCGCCCATGGGTAGGGCAACCCGGGAAGGAGTTATATTAATTTCGCGCGAAGCGCGAAAAAAATACGAAGAGGCGTTTGGGCTGAAGCCTCTTTTTTTCTCCTTTCTGTGCCCTGTTGTTTTGACTGTTATCTCGCTCAAATCGAGCTCGATTTCAAAATCGTTTTTTGTTCTGCATTGCCTGGCACTTTGCGAGGAGGACTGATGCATGCGCATCAGAATGTACAAGGAATTGCGGCCGAGGGAGTGCACTAAATTAAGAGGCTTTATGATTGTGCGGAAGGTACCACCTTTTTTTTTTTCTTGCATGCGTCTGTTGTACGTGTACTTATCTCTTTCAAATCGAGTTCGATTTCAAAGTATAGTGTTTTGCTCTACATTGGGCATCTTACGAGAAGGATCGATGCGTGTACATTCAAGCCATGTGTTCTTCTACATTCAGACGTCTACGAAAAACACGGCAGCATCACGTCTGTGTAGGTTGGTTCTGCTACAGAACACTGCACCACACCCCGATCAGGGCTAGCATCGGCCGTTGCCGTTTACCCCCAAACCGGTTTGGGAAACAAGAATTGGAACTTCAGCGACAGCAGAGTTTGCCAACACTATGTAGTTCTCTCCCATTACTGCTATGTACTTACGTTGCTGCCAGGCACTCCTACTGCTGTTGTGGTGCCCACAAGGTTTGCACGCCCCCCCGAAAAATGACACATGTCCAGCCTCCATAGCACGGATGGTACTTCTATCCCCTCATGCCCATCTTCGCATGGACGCCCCCGTCCCCACCAAACCGCCCCTACTCACTACCCCAGTCACCGGCTGCTACCGCTGTAACCTATACACAAGGCGTTTCCAAATTCCAACGGGACACAACAGCATTTGCTCGCCGAATAGGCGCTCGCTGAAATAGCAACGAATAAGCATGGAAAACGAACCCTAGATCTCCGAATGTGCCTGTGCGTAAACCAAGCGTTTACATCTTCCGGTCGTCACAACAGTTCTCCGCAGGATGCAAGATGGCTGCCAATGATCACCAAGAGGTTCGCATTGAATCGCCGTTACATCGCGCAGGATTAACACCACGTCTTCAAACACTGCCCTGGCACCCCATAGGTTGGGTAGCTGTTCGACGGAGAGGAACCGCCAAATCAGCCTTCGACCCCGTCTTGATGTCCAGCGCTCGGTTGTATGAACACCTGTCATCCAAAGCGAGAACATGACATGTGTTTTGCGATTCAGCATTTTCATCAGAGGCCAAAAGGCAAAAGTGAACATACCCAAGCGTCGAACTTCTCTACGGCCCTTTGTAGTGCCATGGTTGGACCGCGGACAGTTGGTAAAAGTGTGCCCGGCCGTTGTGCCATCGATACAAGTATGCGTCGTAAACAAAAATGCAGAAACTCTACAAACACTTGAGTAGCACAAATGTCGCTCCCAGCAGCACGCATGCAAGCGTATCCCTCAACAATATCACGCTCATCCGCAGAGTTGTATCGCAATCTGGACTGCACGAAACCCCCTGTTGCTGCTCTATGCATGTGACCCACCTAAAGATGAACCGGCTTGTCAAGTGAGGCTCGAGTCGCGGCCGGCTTCCCGCCAGCGCCGCGGTGCCGTTAGGATGCTGAGCGAGAGTACCTGATGCACGGATGGAGCAAGAGGAGGAAAGGGGTACGAAGAACACACAGGAGGGAAAACGTCAGCAAATGCATTGACACGCCTCAACGATGTACCACGTATTTACTACCATACAAGCCTGCACCCTGTGTCCGCCTCAACGAGCGTTACCGATGATAAACCCTGAATTACACTCGCGCTATGTACATAAAACTGCGGTACACAGGAGGTAAGAACAAACAACCCGCTACATACTGCTGAAGGTTGCAGTTGAACGTTGACGACAAAAAAGAAAGGACCGTGACAAGGTTGCCGACGTACAGCAAGCAGACCTTAACAGATCTCCAGTTCCTCGGAAGGGACTGCGTGGATACAGTTGCTACAAATGAAAGGATTTGAGGTTGGACGTGGGAAGAAACGGCCTTTGACCCCTAGTCACAGCTTGATACATGCAGCGATGCAGCTTCCGGACGGATTTCGTCTTCGGGGGTCCCCCCTCACGAGCTAGGTTGCGCTTTGTATTGGTTGTTTGTATGTTCTTTAGGCTTGGTTCGGGGGTAGTTATTGGGGCAGATCAATCAGGTGGCTGCCCTGAACAGCCACATGTACGACGACGTATGCATACGGCGTGGCATTGACGCCCCATCAAAGGACTATTAGCGTGACGTTGCCTCTAGATGCGAGCAGTGTAGACGAGGCGAAATCAGCCGTGGGAGAATAGGCGTTGACCGAGCGGATCGACGGTTGCGATGAGCGGCACCCCGGCACGGAAACATGCGCGGATTCTCAACGTTTGAAACAGCGACTGAGGATGAGGATAAATATGCATACGATAGATCGTGTGGGTTCTCATTTGGGAACGGTAACCTACTGTAAGGTGCTTGCAGACGGTCTTGTAATGCCTTCTTCTGAGGTAGACTAGACATACTGGGATGAAAGCTTGGTGTTCAAAGGGGGTGGGCATGAACTCTATCTGCTGTGCTGTCTTCGCAGTACTAGCTGGCAAAAATAAAGTAAGAGGATATGATACACAGCTCACATGGCTGTGGCAAGGTGCTTAACCTCGCCCAAGCTCTTACGAGCGGGCCGGCACTGCTGACGGTCATCGACTCTATCTGCTACACTGCTGTAAAGTTGCTGCGCTGTGGTGAAATAATGCTTGCGAGAAAAGACCGATTGATTTCGTGACGACGTTGCAGGACAGCACCTGCTGATCTGTTAATAAAGAAACGTTCGGTACCCGTTATGTACGCACACTACAGCAGTACAGCAGCAGCCGTCACATCAATGGGGTACTAAGCAGCGTACAGAGAGGCACGCACACGATACACCCCACGAAGGCTAAGCGCTGCAACTCACTGCTGTTGCTGTACACCTGCTTGTAGCACCAACATATTCACCTGGAAAAGCCGAAACGGGGTGACCGCTGCTACCTCTGCCTCTCCTCCTAGCTTTACCGCCGCCAGTGCTCAGCAACGTGTTTTACACAGCCAGCCGTCGCCACCACGCCCTTATCCCATGTCCGTTGCTTCGTGGTCGGTCATGATGATGATGATGATGCCAAAACACAACCGGCGCTCTGGTTGATGATGAGGTCGTTTGCTTCAAGCAGGAGGTTCACGCCGCCGCAATAGCAGCCCAGCCCCAGGTGGTTTCATGAGGGGCATTGCCTGGCATCTCACCACGTCGCGGCGTCTGTCCACGCGATATACATACGCTGGCAAGCACGTGTTGTGCGCTGTGCAGCTGTGCAGTGCTGCCGGCGCGCACGTTGGTTCTTAGTACAACGCACGCGCGCGCGGTCTTTACAACTCCTTTCGTACTAATCCCAAGTGCCGCTTTTAAAACCCGCTTTCAAACTCCCAATCAGCTTCGTTCAAATGCGGCGGTTTGGGCCAATCAGAGGCGCCGCTTTTAAAAAATTTATCCCTACCCATGGTCCCTGTTCCGGACGCTCCAAGCATGCTCTCAGAGGGGTGACACGCATAGGAAAGTGTACCCCCCACTTTACGACGATCTCGAACGCCGTCCCCCTATCCCGGGGGTCAAGCGGGGGTCAAGCGGGGGTGCTTGGGTGCTTCCCCACATGCCGGTGCTTGCCCAACCCTCGCGCGCTGCTACGCCAAGGAGAGGATCCAACTTGGGGGATAATCGCGTACATTGTCCAGAGGTGAGATTTGAGCGACTACTACTGTGGACCGTATTTGCAGGGGGGCTGGTTTAGGTGGGCTGAAGAGTATTATCTGTAAGACAAGTGACCCACCTACCGCGCTGACTCTGTGCGTTTATATTGGTGAACTGCGTGATGTTTGCACCGCCAGGGGCGGTATCTGTCCATGGTCCTTGACGTTAGCAGCTCTTACAACGGCAACAGTTTGGTATATTCGGATAAGCTTTGCTGCTTGCGGGAGAGCGGAGAGGCAATTTTACGGCATGGGGCTGATTTTCTCAGCGAAAGCCGCGCCGTCTGTGTTGCCTCTCGCGTTCAACATCGAAAGGCTACACAGCAGTATGTAATGACCGTAAGAGGCGGAGAGATGGCACCAATCCTACTGTAGACCCTAGACCTAACTTCAAAGCTCGATTGGTCCACAACCAAGATTATGCCACCACCAAAAATGGTGGTTTTGGAAACATCTCGTTGGGGTCATTCCGTAAACATATCGTTCTGTTTCCGCACCCCCTTGGTTGCGGGGCAATCGACCTTCGAAACAGTTGGTATAAGGGGGGGGGGGTGTACTCATGTACTCATAGTCGTGCAGGTCTAGGGGGGGGGGTGTCACCTCTCCACCCCTTGCGGGTAGTCTCCGCTTGGTTGTGTCTAGATCCCCACGAACGTATTCGCTTTCTGATTCCCGCGGAACAGTCTTCTCCGTTCTAACCCCGTACATTGTACCACAACACCACCACCCAACACGCGCTTTTTCCAGTTGGCTGTTCAACCATGAGCCGTTCCAGCACCGAACGTCCTGACGACGGCTGCATCGCTGAGACGGCCAAGACAACAAAAACGCCGCGCGAAGGTTTACCGGCTTCGAGTCCAGGAGCTTCCCCTGGCAGTGATCGCAACGGCAGCAGCAGCAGCAGCAGCAGCAGCAGCGGCAGTAGCAGCAGCAGCGGCAGCAGCAGCAGTAGTAGCAGCGATGACGACGAAGCCTCTCGCGGGGGTGACGGAAGAAGCACAGGGCCAAGCACCGATGCTCGCAGCGGCAACAATAGCGCCGAGCAGGGTTCCCGACACGAAGAGCGCGGGCAAGACAAGCACGAGCGGCGAAGATCGAGGGCCAACTCCACCGACGACGGACACTCTCGGACAGGAACCCGCCGATCCCCTGCTGGTGGCAGACGAAAGGGGCCAGGAGGAGACGGCCGTCGTTACCGCCGTCGCCAGACAGACCAAAATGACACTAGCGAAGACGAAGATGAGCGAGGTGATTTCGGAAGAACAGCCCGCGGCGGCGGCAGCGGCGGCGACGGCGGCGGCGGGCGGCGTCGAGGCACCGGCGCCGACGGGAACGGGCGCGAGTCCAACAGGCACAGCGGTAGCTGCGACGGAGGGAACAGCCGCCGGAGAAATGGTTCCAGGGATCGCCGCGAGAGTCGCAGGTCGAGCAACGGTCGGCGAGATGCTGGACCCATGGACGAGGAACACTACCGTGCCCGTGTTCACAAGGCCAGTGCCTCCTCTGACGGCGGGCGCGGCGATCGCAGAGAACGGTCCCGGGATCGGCCTCGAAGCGGTAACGGCGATGATGGAAGGCAAGGCCACACGATTTCCGCCGCCGATAGGGGGTACAGCAACGGAACCGGCCGGGATGGTTCCAAGGAAAGGTCGGGGGGGTCCAGGCGCGACGGCGGTGGCCGAAGGGACTACGGCGGAAGCAGGGACAGGCGAGATGGTTACACAGGGGGGGGCGGCGGGAGACACGGCGGCTACCGGGATTCCAGCAGGAGTCGGTACGAACGCGATCGGGATGGCGGCGCCGACGGTTCAAGAGGCCGTTACGGAGAGGGTGATGGAGGACGTAGACCGTGGGCAGGCGGCGGCGGCGGTGGCTATAGCGACGAGAGGGGTCGACGTCGCGAGGATGATGATTCTAACAGAAGATGGCATGGGCGCGACGGGGATCGCACAGGGAGGAGCGGTGGAGGTGATTTCAGCGACGACCGAGCAATGGGGAGTTATCGCGCGCGAGGTGGTGGCCGTGACGCGGCAGTAGCCACACGCAAGCGGGAAGAGTCCGGCGGGGACACTAACGCTCGCCGCGGCCATGGAGCCGGCAGCGGCGTCGCACGCGGAGAAGGTGCCTCTAGTGATCCGGTTGTGGGTTTCGTCGATGGGCAGTGGGTGTCGGGCGGGATTTTGGGCGATGATGCCGACAGCGACGCCAGCAAAGACGCCGACCCCGGGGGGAAGCAAGGAAACGCCGACGGCGGACAGCGCGAGAGCGGTCACGGCAACAGCAGCAGCGTCGGCAAGCCGGCCGTGGCGGAAACAGCAGCTACGGCTACCGTTCCAGGTACAAGCGGTGACGTGCCCAGGCGCCCGCGGTGGGACAAGGCTGCCCCTACCGCTACCGCGGGCCTGAGCGCTGCGGTTGCGAAGGCTTCGGGGAGAGCGGTGGCAGGGAAAAAGAAGCTGGTGTGGGGCGCGGCTGGTGGCGGTGGGGGTGCCGCGAAGAGACCGCTGTGGGGGGTTACAACAGAGGCTGGAGTCGCGGCGCCGATGGGCGGTGGGAATGGATCCGGGCTCAGCCCCGGACAGGCCCAGGTGGGTTGTGGTACCGTTCGTGGACTGCGTTTCCCGTGGTACAACGATGGTTGACGTTGATACAGCGGTAACGAAGAAGGGTGCTTCGCAGCTGTTCCGAACCTGTCGTGTCCTTCTCGGTTGCTGTGGAGTGCTCGAGATGATTGTCCGTTGCAGTTAAGGTTTCAAGAAAACGCACGCAATATGTAACGACGGAAGACTTCCTGGCCAGTAGGACAGACTGGTGCGCATCTAGAAGGTACTGAGCAGAGACTGGAACATGTATTTTTCGTGTGAGGCCAGCGAAAATCACCATCACAGATAGACTTACCAATTCGAGAGAACGTTGAGTCGTGTTGGAAACAGACACAGCACCGTACGAGAGTACCCGCTCAAGATACAGTTGACCTATATTTTTTTTCTTTGTTGGTCGCTCGGAACACGTTGATTTGCTGTTCGTCCCCAGACAACCAGTGTGATATTCCTGGAGATCCCCACCCCTGCCGCTGTCCTCTGACAGAAGCTTGAATCCAACAGCGGTTGCCGTGCTCCTCGTGCTTCACCGAGTGGTCTAGCAAAGCACTAAAGGGCAAGGGTGGTGGGTAGCATTACATCAGCACAGCTACAACGCATCAAATCAGAAGTGTACGACCTCGGGGTGTCTGTCTTTCTCTCCTGCAATACCACCGTCGCGTTGGAGACGCCAGCACCCATCCGTCCATTCATGTACAACACCTCTCACACCATGTACGTCAGAATCAACTCCTGACAAGTGATTGCAGATCTCTGACCAGACACACTTACGCTTCTACCTTTTCCACCAGAGCGCTTGCCCCCCGTTTTCTCGTCTAACAAAAGCTCGCTCGCGTTGCACCCCCCCCCCCCCCCCCCCCCCCCAGCCCCCCCCCCCCTCCCCCCCCCGGGCGTTTCGGGGGGGCCTGCCCCCCGGCCCGGGGTCGCGGTGGGGGCGACCCCTCCCTCCTCCGAAAGGGGGGAGACAAACAGCAAGGCGGCTGGGCGCAAGCCAAACTTTCCATAAAAACACCCCCCAAATCCCCTTTTC